TTTACTTTTTGAAGAATATCTTGGTCACTTACAGTTTTGAGTGATTATTAATAAAGCTTCTATTTTCATGCAGGTTTTATGTAAATAAATCTTAAAATTAGTTAAATAAATATCTAGGACTTCAATTCCTGGATCACATGTTAATACTGTGTTTAACTTTTTAAAAAACATCTAACTCTTTTTTGAATTTCTACCAGCAAGGAATGAGAATTCCTCCTGATGAGAATCCTTGCCGGCATTTGGTATTGACAATGTTTTAGACTTTAATCATTCTTATAGGTGTGTAATGTTATCTCATTGTTTTAATCTTCAATTCTCTAATAACACATCATGTTGAACATTTTTTCATAGGCTTACTTGCCATTTGTATATTTTTGATAAGGTGTTTGCTAAAATATTTTGGCTATTTTTAAATTGCAGTGTTTATTTTTCTGCTGAATGTAAAAGAATTCTTTGTATGTTTTAAAACAATTTCTTTATCGCATATGACTTTTGCAAAATTTTTGCCATTTGCAGCTCGTCTTTTCATTCTCTTAACAGCATCTTCTACAAAGCAGAAGTTTTTAATTTTCATATATCCTAATATAAATTTTCTTTTTCTTTTATGAACCATGTTTTGGATGTGTCTAAAAGTTAATTGCCAAATGCATAATTATATAGATTTTTTCCTATGTTTTCTTCTAGAAGTTTTGTAATATTGTGTTTTATGTTTAGATCTATGATCTATTTTGTGTAAATTTTTCTGAAAGGAATAATATCCATGTCTGGGTTCCTTTCTTTTATTTTCTCTTATTTTATTACTGTTGCTGTAATTGGAAAGACTTTTTTTAAAATTTTTCTCTCAATAGAATTGCCTTTGCTCTTTTGTCAAAGATTACTTGACTTTATATATTTTTTGGTTTTATTTTGAGCTCTATTTTACTCCATTGATGTATATATTTAGTCTTCAAAAAAAGTTATGCTGTCTTTCTTGATTACTGGAGTTTTATATACAGTAAGTCTGGTGTCAGTCATACTAAGTTTTCTAACTTCATTTTTCTACTTCAATACAGTGTTTGCGATTATGGGTCTTTTGGCTTTCCATGTAAACCTTAGAATCAGTTTGTCGAAATAGCTTGTCGAAATTTATATTGTAATTGCATTCATTCTAGAGATCAAATTGGGAGTAATTGAAACTATGACAATATTGAGTCATTTAAACATAAATTCATGAACATGGACTATCTTTACATTTATTTTGATCATCTTTGATTTCTTTCTCCAGAGTTTTGGAGTTTTTCACATATAAATTTTAATTCAGTGTATTAGATTTATACCAAAATATTATTTTACTAGTGTACTACTATAGATGGTATTGTACTTTTCAATTCAAATTCCAATTTCTCATGGCTGATGTGTAGGAAAACAATTGACTTTTGTACAGTTAACCCTCACTTAATGTCATTGATAGGTTTTTAGAAACTGCAACTCTAAGCAAAATGATGTATAATAAAATCAATTTTACAATATGTTCATTGACATAAATAAGAGTTAAATTTCTACAGCATATTTCTGGTCACAGAAATAGCACCAAATATCTAAATAAAGTCCTAAAACACTTCTAACATTAAATATTGAAATAAATGTAAGCTATACATATATTTTGGAAGATTAACAAAAACAAATAAGATGTATATCTCAAAAATGTTTACACCCGGGATTATATTTTTATTAACATACATATTTTGGTTTCCATATAGATCATACAGCATATAGAGAATTTCGAATATAATATTCCAGAGGGCAGGGTCATTATAATTATATTTTTATATAAAGCACATTATTCATTCAAAATAAGCTTTTTTTATAACATTAATGCTGATTATTTAGGTGTGCAGCACATCTTTATGCAGTCCAATATTATTTTAGATTCTATTCATCACATTTTATAAGAAAGAGGAAGATTAAGGGAAGATATTTTATATATGTGACTTTATAGGAGCACCCATCTCAATTTTGTGTTAAATAAAAAAACCTGATAATACTATGATTAGCAAAGTACAGTGCTTTGTTACTAGGCAACATCTTTATGATACTCAAGATGTGTTAACTAAATACAACTTCATATCATCTTTCAGGTATTCTCTTATTTATGAAGTGAGCAACCGAAATAATTCATTAACATTGTCTTTTGGGGGAGGAGGAGGGGCTTGAGGAAAACACCAAATATGGAGAAGTGGAATGGGAATAGAAAGCATAGCTAAAAATAATATACTAACAAGTGGGGAGAATATTAGCAAGATGCCATATTGAGAACAATTATTTGCCTTTTTATTCTTCTTGCCTGCAGTGACCAGTTTAATATTTTAGCTTTAAAATAAGAAATAATTTTTCTTACCTAGCTCTCATAAGTTTCTTAAAAGTAAGCTAATGAAGTAATAGTATATAGAAGTGCTAGCTAGGGTTTGCATGTGCATGTGTGTGTGCTCCTATATTAAAACATATATTTATATATTAAAATAAGTCCTGCCTCTGAGATTTTCAGCAGTTTCTGCTGACTCTTTAACAAATCTCCAAACTTCTGTCTGCATCAGCAATTTTGTATTTAAGTTGAAACATGTTCTAAATATTCTTGACCAAAGATTGGAAAGCAGTCCTGCAGAGAATGAGTAAAGGTATTGCATAGACCTTTGGTAACCCCGGTGTGCTTGTTGTTTCTTCAAAGAAAAGTCATGTTTTAGCACACACTTGGCTACTTAATAGTATTTATCCACCAGGGTGCCCTTGTAAGGCTAATGATTGCCATGAAAGGTGTTTATGTGAATATTAAGAAAATTTCTGCCTAGAATAACAGATTGTGTGTGTCTGAGTGTTAGTATTCATTAAGTTTCTACTATATGCCAAGGTTCTTCACAGATATTAATCTTTGAAACAAAGCTATTTCTATGTATTATTTATACAGTCTTTCAGATTCAGAAACAGACTCACAGGGCTTAAGTAATTTGCCAAAGATATTAACTAGGGGAAACCCCAGCCTCTAAGTAGAGGCTCTTTTATTTTTTATTCTGACTAGCTGTTTTAAACCAACAAAGAATAAAAAGAAATCCTGATCTAACCAGAAAAAAAAATTATAAATATTTGAATTATTCATAGGGTATCTGACTTCAATTCCAATATTACTTGCAATGTACAACTTCCCTTTAATTAATCTGTTAATGGAAAATAATTAAAGATGAATTAATTTAACAGATTGCTCTTATCTGTTTAATAAAAGGACAGTCCCAAAAATATTCGATTTACTTTAAATTAGATTTTATATATTTCTAAAGCACATGTTCACTTTATTTTTTGATTTTGCTCATGCAGTCAATTTATATTAATAAATTTTGCAATATAAATTCTAAAATACTTCGTCTTCTCATACTTGTGACTCCACCAATGAGAAATGATATAACAGTCTGTATATAAATTTAAAAAATAGAGTTTATGGTATTATTTAACATTAATAGTGTGTTTTATATTTCAAGTTCCTTTGTATAAATGGTTGTACATCTATAAACTTATTCATATAAATATAATTTTAATGTTGGCTTGAAAACATGATTAGATGACAAGTTACAAAAGTAAAAGTTATAAGTATTTTTAAAACAGATCCAACTACTTAGCACATGGTCAAAAAGAAAAATATTATATTATTAAACACTACTCATTGGCACTCATAGATTGTTTTTTTAATATTTACCAATTTCCAACTAATAAGACATTTTTAATTAAAAATACATAAGTTAATAAACCTCAGTTTCTGATATGGCAATCTTGTTCTTTGAACATTATTTTGTTTTTATTTATGAAATCTAAATACTTGGCTAAATGAAGGTAATTTGTAACTTTGCCAAATTGATGAACTTTATGCAATTTAAAATATTTAGAAAGAGCCACTAGAAGCACATGTTTTTCAGATTTTCTCTTGGTTCTTTTTAAATGATATTATATCTGTTTCACACAGACCCTCTAAAACCAGGAAGTAAAGAAGAGAATTCATTTATAAAAAACAGCAGTATTTAGATTTGGGAATGGATAATGTAGCTAAATAAATTAGGCATTCGTGAGATGCAGGAACCAGACAACAAATATTTATGGCAAGTGCAAAGGGAGAAGGATGGTATCTCGAATCTTTATAGACAGAAAAAGATTCAAGATGAGATGGTTACAAATGAATAAAGAAGGTTATAAATAAAAGCTTTCAACCTTTCTGAATGCCTCCATAATATGTTTTGTGTGGAGATAAGTGCCCTAAAACAGAGTATTGTTGATTCTTTTTTTATTGGAGATTAAAGGTTTTATTCAAATATGGCTCTTTGTGCTTTTTAAAAGTTTCCTACACCCGTGATTGAATTATTGTTTCAAAATGGAAGGAAAAAGAGATTTTGAAAATTGGTAATTCCATTATCATTATTTGTCAGGTATGAAGTTCTTTTCTTAGAAAGCAATCATTTCGAACCTCATTTATGTGCAGTTTCAATCCCAGACATATACATGAATCATTTATGTGCTGGGACATGGCAGCCTCCCAGCTCAGGTCTCAAATCTCTACAAGCAATATGACTTAGTGGTGATAGAGATAAGACCTTGGTTGACAAAGATAATATTTACTATCGATATTGAGTTACTTTTATGTAACAAAAACTTGTCATTTCTTGAACAATAAGAATACATAATATGAAAATGAGATGAGATTTAAAAGTTGATTTTATAATGTGTCCAAAAAAAATCACTGAAAATAATTTAATTTTTAAAAGTTTATCTGTTAATCTCTTTTATCTTGACAATTGAATTATTAATTTTTGATTTTAAAATTATAAAGCACTCTATTTATTGCAAGATTTGGAGCTTCTATACTGTCACACACACACACTATATGTATATATATATTAAAAGTTAAAACAAAACCTAGAGAAGGAAAATGTTGTGCAATTATAGTATTAGGAAATTCTAACCACTTTTAAAATCCTGTCTTTCAGGAAAGAACAGTGACCATTAGAAGACAAACTGTAGGAGGATTTGGATTAAGCATAAAGGTATCCTGTCTTTCCAGTCCATATTTACAAAGATCGCACTATAATGCTGCATTTTGTGTATTTCAAATTTTTGGCTGGTTAATAATTAGGAAAGAATAGGTATAGCAAACTCTTCAATATTTGAACTTAGATATAAATTAGGTAGAATCTCATAGTACCTTGGCCACCTTTTGATTTAGAAATTTAAAAAAAGTATTTGGAAACATTACCTTACCTATCATTAAATATAACTCATTAACTTCATCTGGTTTCATTAAAAACATCAAATAAGGAGGGTGTTTTAGTGAGCATATCTTCCTCTAACCAACCAGAGTAGAAAATTCTGACCTATCAGTGAATGGAGCAATAATTTTTATGCTTATAATGTCTTATAGTTAGTTAGATATTAGTTGTATTCTATTCATCTTTTTCTTTTGTTTAGTTTTTATTTTTTAAAGAAATAAAATCTTATGTTACATTGTCAAGTATAGACTTAAAGTTTTAGCATCTATTATAAGAAAGACTATGTCTATTTCCATTTATTATTAAATTTTAAAGAGCTTTTCTTTCTGTATATTGTTCACATTACAATGTATCACACCTGTAATTTATCATAACTGAAACAAAATTGAAATTTTAAAAGAATGGAAAATTATATTGGAAGTTAATGACTTCAAATGCCTTTTTTTAGATACCTAAATCTATGCATAGATAAATAAAATTTAACTTTATCTTGATTGTTGAATTAGGCATTTTGCTTATGTTGGGTGAAAATCATACATCATGAGTATATTTTTTACGAAATTTTAACACAGTTCAAGTTATATATGCTCGGAAAGTAGAATTCAAAATTTGGAACTATAGCTCTAGTTGGCATTAAAAAAATGACTCAGATTTCTGATCATTGTGGAATAGTATTATGTTGTCAAGTAATAAAAAAATTACTATGTAACATGTTAGTTTTGAAATATGTTTGTACTTTCACTTTATCATCAACAAGGACCAGAGAGACACACAGACACGCAGGACAAATTAGAGGATTTAATAATGGAAATAATGCTGTGGGAATTCCATCATTCAATAGACAAGTTTTTTGTTTGTTCGGGTTTGTTTTTTACCATGATATTTATTGAGATTGCTCTGAAAGACTTAAAGGCATGACTAAGAAAGAAAGCCTATGAAGAGAGACCAAAAGATGAAGGTGAACAAAATCTAATAGTGAAAGTTGATTTCATTTTAGATAAGCATTTTTATCTACCCTTTACTGACTTTACTTCTGATAGTGAATCTTTGTTAACTTTATTTGGGTTGAAAATGTTACTTTCCCTTTTTTTTTTATTTCTATTTGTAATTCAAACTGAATAATATATTATTATTTATTTTTACTCTAATACTGCATTTTAACTTAAACATTTTTTAAAACATCAAAGCTTTTACCAATGAATCATTTTAGATTAATGATTTTATTATTTTCATCCAAGCAAAACTTTTATACACATAAAAAATAGAGTGATTTTCAAAATTACATGTGCATATTTTTCATTCAAAATACTGGCCACAAAAGCAATATGTAAACTGTGATTGGTGTCATATTTTAGAAGGTTTAACAAAATAGAAAATTACTTTAGAATTTTTATGATACACAACAAACTAGAAATACAAACATCAATAATTTTTATTTAAAATATTACTCATTTATCCTGATTTTAGAGCTTTCCATTTTGGTTTTCTCAATACTAAATACTGACTTTTGCTTTTCTACTTTTTCAACTATCTTTTATTCTGTTAAGATATTTCAAAATATGATTATTTATTAGCAATGGTATACAAATCCTTTTCCCTTTGCTCTGTCATATGTAAATTGCATGAATTACTGTGTTTATTTGCATTATTTTCTGAGAATTTAAAATGTATGTTATATATGTTTTACTATTTTATAATTTCATAATATAAATTATAGTATTTTACTACATAATTACATATTTTTATATTATAAACTATATATACTGAGCAGTTTAAAATTATTCTGTTAAATGCAGAATTAATATTTTAATGTTAATCATTTATCTATCTATGTATCTATTTATCGCTGGAGTAATTTCAGTCAGCTATAACTATATGCATAAATATATAAACATATATTTTATCCTTATTTGCTTCAGGTAAATAATTGCCACTTATACACACTGGAGGTTTTATAGTGAGAATTATTAATTAAAATCTGGAAGATCTCAACTAGAGATAACAGAAAGAATAGCGTATGTTAAATAATTGAAAAGGCATTTTCCAATATAGTTAAGACTCCGATAGGTGACCCTGAATTTTACTGTACTCAGAACATGTGGTGTTATTATTTGTTTTACCGTCCCCAAAACTATTTTAAAAATGGTTGAAATAAAACAAAATGTTCTTTTTGGTCAGAAAACACAAAAATACTCTAACATGTGCTATTAGAAGTCAAGGCCAATTGGCTATGCTCCATACTTCTGACAAATCTTGACTTCTGGGACCTTTCTGCATCATTGTACTTGGCAGTAATTCCTCAGGTATCACATGTTGCGGCCAGTGCTAGAGAAGAAAAGTTGGTAGACAACATCACAGAAAAGGTTTTTATGTAGCATCTCTTTAAATGCTTTATTTATTAACATTGCACCTTTATTTATTAGCTATCATCCCTTCTCCTCCCTGTCTTCCTGACTCAGCTCTAAGCAACTATTAGTCTACTTTCTTTCTCTATGGATTTCTCTATTTTGAACTTTCATATGAAGGCTATCATATAGTCTGGGGGCAACTATTAATTTTTGCCAAAATTGTCAATGTAGGAACATCCAAACCTGCAGAGAATTTTTATAATCTATTTGAGCCGAATCTGGACACAAGATCTCAAAACTAAGAAAAAAGTGCTTTCAAGAAATGACAGCTTACGGGTTTTTTTGTTTGTTTGTTTGTTTGTTTTTAATGCATTTGGAATTAAGGAAAGAGTCAAAGATTATAAGAAGGTAGGAAAAAGCAAGGTGGGGATTGGATTATAGGATAGTTAATAAAATTATGTATTCTCTTGAAGGTAGTCATGCTTTAAGAGCTCTGGATCTGAAAGAGGCATTTCAAAGATTCATTAACCTAGATGCACAGAAACAATAGATAAGGTTTGCTTAACCCATTTCCCGTTTGCCCCAAAATATTTGCTGGCAGCACTTGTAGCTGTTACCCCAAGGTAACTTGTGGATCACAGTCCTAAACTTACTCTCAATTTTGCCATGAAATATCTCACTTTTATTATTATTTTCACATCACTCTAGTATATTGATAGTCTTTAGAAACAAAAGACATCATTCTATTTATAACATTCTGTTTTTAGTAGTGGTATTTCCATTTATAAAATGTAGTAATTCTCCATTGCTGAAAATATCAAATTCTAGAAAAGGTAGCATTTCTATATGTGATGTTAGCATTGTTCTCAAACAGTTAGCTAGCAGAAGATGAATCAATTTATGTATATATTTCTGTTACATTAGGATTAGAGACCAGTTCTCTTTAGAAATAACTCCAAGAGCAGTTTTAAATTTTATTTTCACATTGAAAATCAGTCAGATTTGCTTTGGCCTCAAAGAGCATGTTTATGTAAAATTAAATTAATGGTGGCAGAGAGCTGCATTTGTTTTTTCTAAACAAGAAATTAAGGCAAAGATAAGCCTTTTACTAAACAAAAGTTATATGCCTGGAAAATGATTACCCACCATGACCTTCCTCTATTAATTTATGATCAGATCACCCTGTGAAGTTGTTTTCCAGAGAACCCCTTTTTCATTCACAAAACCAAACTAAGTGATTTTGGCAGCTAAGTGTGGGATACAAATGGAATAATGATAGTTGTCCATATTCTTTCAGGTGACCTTCCTTAGGTGTCTCTCTATATCTGTTCACTGGGCTCTCAACTCTAATCACTGTGCTATTATCTATTTACAAGTATTTTTCTTGTCCTAAATGAATACACAATAGTGGTGTCTATGCATTTTTTTTTCCAGAGCCCAGAATATGATTGATTGATTGATTGATTGATTGAAATAATACAAATATTAAATTGAAAAGATTTATTTGGCAAGAACCTCAATGCTCTAAAAACATCCTGGGTTTGATTTGATTGAAATGAATTGCACAGTTATACTGGCAAAATCATTGTATAGAGTCCTACTCAAAATGTTACTGAACTCAGGTTCAGCTGCTTGCTGCTCATAAACCAATAACTTGTGAGACAAGAGTTTGGTAGAAAGAAAGCAGGTTTATTCAAGAGTAGGCATCCTGAGAAGTTTTTTTCCAGGAAGGCCAAGGAGTGGCCTTTTGGATTGGGCCATCAATGTTGTCATTTCTATGGTTATGACGCTGGGCCTTTGCTCCCGTTGCTCATGGCTTCCTAACTGCCTGGCAGAAGGAAGATGAAGAAGCCAAATGACAAGGGGCTGTTAGGAATTTTAATTTTATTCTAAGTCTATCATTTGTTTTAAACAAGGTGAGTCACATTGTTTGATTCCTTCCCAGAAAACCTTGAATTTCCCCATTTAGGTCCAGAACTAAATCTAATTAACTTTAATAGAGCTGGATTTCTCTCACATTTCATCCAATAAATAAAGGTACTGTGATTTTAAGTTATAATTTTTATCTCTTAAGTTTTGTCTTAAAAGTTTCTAATTATTCAAGTCATTTTCTGAAATCAGTTTAAAAATATTCTCTAGCTCCAAATGTCTGATTAGAAAGAAAGGAAGGAAGGAAGGAAGGAAGGAAGGAAGGAAGGAAGGAAGGAAGGAAGGAAGGAAGGAAGGAAGAAAGAAAGAAAGAAAAGAAGAGAAAAAGAAAGAAAAAAAGAGAAAAAGAAAGAGAGAGAGAAAGAAAAGAAAGAAAGAAAGAAAGAAAGAAAGAAAGAAAGAAAGAAAGAAAGAAAGAAAGAAAGAAAGAAAGAAAGACTCAGGAGCAGCTTTGCAAATTGCCCTTGTACCCTGACTTACAAAGTCATTGTTCCAGAAATGGGGAGTACCCCAGGATGCCTTCTCCTGAGGTGAGGTCTCAAGTATTACAGTAGAGGCTGAGCTGTAAGAGAAAAAGAGAAAGAAAGAAAGAAAGAAAGAAAGAAAGAAAGAAAGAAAGAAAGAAAGAAAGAAAGAAAGGGAGAGAGAAAAATAAAAACACCTTTGAGCACAAGCCATTCAGATTTCAGGAAAAATTTTACATATAAAAGAAAAATGTTGACAAAATAAGGGTTAGTCATATTGTAACTGAAAGACAAATTAGTCTGGTGGTTCACGCTGTTTGGACAGTTCAGCCAATAGATCGACACTGGTGTTGGGCTATTTAGAATAAGCTGTTCATTAAAGGATAGCAATCCTGGAGAACAGGCAGGCTATGGCTCCAAAGGCCTGGCTTTCTGAGTATCTCATAGCACAGATTATATAGGGAAAAATAGTCATCATGGAAACTAAGGGTGTTGGTGTTGTGGGTGCTACTGATTAGACAACTAAAGAAAGTCAAGGTGATTGATCATTGTGTCTAGTTCTGGAATCAGCTATGGTGCCATCCTATCTGATCCTGTGACCTTCTGCCTCAATAGGGCTGTGGCTGAAAAATATATATAAAGCTAAGATGTTATCATTAGTCTAAAGTGCAACCAAAATCTATTTCTCCTAATGATTATAGACCTGAAGCTCAGTTAATCTTATGTACTAAGGTTTAATGATTATAAGATCAGGCATATAGAGGGTAAGAGCGGGGAGGTGGTGAGGGGGAAGGCAGGTGAGTTACAATGCCATTATTTGGATAAAACCAGCTTGAATCAGAAGGGTAACATATATATATATATATATGAAATTAAGTTTGTGTGCAGTTATAAGCTATAGGGTAAGAAGCGAGGCTGAGGACACCGTGAGGCCCATAATACTGCATTCCATGTATCAAGTCCTCCTTTATTATCTTGTCATTAAAAGATAATTATAAATCTGGATGTTGAAGGAAGAATGGTATTAATGAGTTAACCCTCAGAAAGTCACTATCTCAACAGACTTCTTTAGAGAGATCCCAGAGAGAGATTCTCCATTCTCTTACTATGATAACTTGCATTAAAAGTCCAAGCACTAAGAACATTTTGGATTCAATAATACAAAGGCAAAAAACTGGGAATAGCAAAAACAGCTAAAGGAAAACACACTGATCAGAGCCACATAGACAAAAGTGACATAAACAGTGTCATTGTCTACTCTAAAATGTCTAAATCACAATATCTGGATGATTTTGCTTCCTCTTTTCATGTCACCTAAAACTTCTTCCATGATCGATTAATTTTAGTTAACTAGCTTTTTCTTTTAAGAAATAGAGATGCATCCATAAAATTCTTTCTAATGTCCAAGTGTCTCTAGAAACTCTCAGAGACCATGGACATTTCATTTCATTGTATGCCTTCTTTGCTTCTACTAAAAAAAAATTCTACAATGTATTTAAAGATTGAAATAATTTTAGGCCTGCAAAAAGCCTTAGAATTCATTTATTCATTCACCCACTTATTTCACAAACATTTTAAATAAAAAAAAGAAAGAAAGGAAGAAAGAAAGACACTATTTCATTCATTGACGTTACATAAATGAACAAGACAAATTACCAAAAAAAAAAAAAAAAAAAATCAGTCCTCTCATGGAAGTTACATTCTAGTTACAGATAAAGAAATGAAAAAGAAAGCAAATGATAAATGTAAGAAATTAATAAAGAAAATAGGATAGAAGCTGATAAGTATAATGGGAAAGAATAGAGTAGAATATAGGGGATTGGGAACTTGAAATCCTACCTAGTAAATAGTAAGGGTCTTGGAAGAGATTAATCCTAACCTTAATTACCATTTAATGCTATGTAATTTTACTCATAAATCTTAATTAATAGACTGCATAAAAGCGATAGCTATTTTTTTTTTAATTAAGCATTTACGGTGTGCTAAATAAGCACTCACTTTCACTACAAATCACTATCCCTTTGATATACAGAATAGAATGCAAAAGCAATATTAGGAGCCAATGTACATTATGCCAGAAACTTTCTTTACTGAATTAGTAAGAGTGGATGAGTGAATATAGAGTTGGTTCATGGGAAATAATGAGAAAAAGTTTAGTGGGTTTGAATTTCAAATCGAGTAAAACGATTTTCGATATTTTATGTTTTATATTTCTTCTTAATATTCTAGATGTACAAAGAACTACTTGCCAAAGAAAAGTTAAATACCATCACTTTTCTCAACAACTACAGCCTATTTTACATTTAAGTATTTTGGCAATTCATTGTTAAAAATAGACATCCATAGGGGGAAAAACGTCTGTTGTAAAATAATTTATTATCCTTGTGGGGGAGGGGGGAGGCTTAGGAGGTTTACTTATTTTAAAGATAGTGAAACCCCAGTGGAATTTAGATCATCTTTTCCAATTTTATATGTTAAAAGTGCTATATGTTTTTCTACATGACATTTTAGTCTTCAATGCACTTATTTGATTTTTTCACTATTGCTTTCAACTGTCTCAAGTCAATTATTTCAGAGATTTATTTTATTTCACTATACATAATTTTAACTAACTTACTTTTGTTTCTTTTTTCATATTTCATTTGGTCAATTAGACAAAGCAGTATTGCAATATTCTTGCCATTTTATTTTATTCTGTTAATTGTTTGGTATATGCTTTCACACAAAGAGGAATCTAATACTAATTAAGAAGATGCAGACTACCCTTCCCCATCATACATATGCACACTCTGATTTTCTGTATTGATTTGTGTAGGTAGAGTTCTCTCTAGTCACTTAGTATGCAAAGGGTCTGTGCTTAGTCACCAGTATATAACAACTTAGCCATATAGCGGATATACCTGATTATCTAGTATTTGGAGCCCTAAATATGAATTTCTGCAATGACAGCACTGTTCCACATTGAAGAAAATGCTTACTTAACATTATCGTTCTTTATTCTAAAATGAAAACTTTCAAAGTCACCTGTTTTTAATTATTAGATGTCACAGTGAAATTCTGAACAGACAGATAAGTTCAGTGGTAGTACTATCTACTCAGTAAAGAAATTCCACATGTTTATTTAAATTCTACCTAGTGTTCACTAATATACTATTCATAGCCTGCACAGTTTCTAACTAAATGCTGCATTTTTATCTTTTCCGAATAAAAGCACTGTATATGATTTTCTCTTTTCAGGGGGGAGCAGAGCATAATATTCCAGTTGTCATTTCAAAAATCTCCAAAGAGCAAAGAGGTAATGTATTAAGAGAATTATACAGTTGCCACTACTTTGTAAGTTGCTGTTATTGAAGAATAAAGTGATATTTAAGAATTATAAGTTAGTATGTAATTGACTAGCTCCAGTTTTCCCATGACCCAACAGTAAGTAGTTGAGTCTGATTCCTGCATCTTTGCTCTTTATTATTCCAGGGATAGGCTTCACTCACAGAAAAGCAAAGGAAAAATAACAGAACGTGTGACTCTATATCAATTACGGACTGCAAAACTTTTCAATTGTTTCATTAAACAAACAAACAAACAAATCTGATAATTACAAGTCACACCAAGTATTACCAATTTTTAAATATATGTTATTTTCACTTCTCATATACAATTTATATCAGTCCTCCATATAAAATTTCATCTAGGTAAAACACTGAAGATGTAAAGCAACTTTCAGTGAATAAAATTTATAAAACGACTTAAAGTTTAAAAAGAAAATTGGAGCTGATTCTATAGCTGATGGGTTGAATGTCTGGATCTAAACTTTTTTTATAGATACCTTAAAATTATAAGTATATGAGAAAAATGTCATCATCTATCCAAAAGAGTGACCATTTTTAGTGACTGTAAGATCCAAAAAGGTAGAATTAAATATAAATATTTCAGGTTGTGTTTTAGTATTTGGGCTAAATTATATGATTTTTGTATTTCCATTCCTTGTGGATCTTTTAAGACACTATTCATACAAAGTATTTATTTTTTCTTCTATCAATTTTGACTATAAGTAAAAAACTCATCCATATGAAGAAAGTAGTCAATGCATAATCAATTGTCTTTTTTCATTCTTAGCGGAACTTTCAGGACTACTCTTTATTGGGGATGCAATTCTGCAGGTATACATTTTACCATTATTCTTTTATGTGCAACTCAAACATAAAGTCAATTCATAGTATACCACATAAAACTATGTTTTCCTTTCATTGCAGATAAATGGAATTAATGTGAGAAAATGCAGACATGAAGAAGTTGTAAGTTTTCCCTATTTTTTAATATGATTTTCTCTACATGTAAATGAAGATTTAGTACATTGCTAAAAACTGCTCATTTTATTCATTAGAAAAATATGACACTGCCATTGTCCTATCTGATTTACAAAGGATCTCTTGATCTCTTACTATGTGTTTTTTGTTTTTGTTTTTTTATTTTGTTTTTGTTTTATATTAGAAACAGATCAGTGAATACTGCCCAGGATGAAATGTAATACAAAGAAATACTTAAGGGTCATTTGTTATGTTTTTTCCAGTTTTTCTGTTAATCCTTACCAGTCAATATCCATTACATATATCTCTACATGAAATACATCTCTGAATTTTTGCCAATATTTATTAACTTATAAACTTATAAAGAATACAATTTATGCCTGTAAAAACCTCATAGAGCAGCAGGAGCAATTGGAAGATGACATAAAGACTATGTGTTTGTGTTTCTATGTGAGACCGAGAGAGAGAGAGAGAGAGAGAGAGAGAGAGAGAGATCGGTAGAGAGGCAGAGAGAGGCAGAGAGGCAGGGAGGCAGGGAGGGAGAGACAGACAGACAGGCAGACAGACACAGACAGACAGACAGAATTTAAAGGACCTTAATCCAAGGTAAACAGGTTTAGTAGTAAGCTAAATAGTCATCAGTTTTTACTGTGGTATTTTCTTGGGTGTTAGTAAATGTGCAGATCTGAATTCCTGACCTCAGGAATTCTAATTCAGTCAGTTTAAATGGGTTCAAGAATTTGGATTTTAACAACTAGCCCAAGTGGTTCCATTACACATGGCCTCTAAACTATATTTTGAGAGAAGCTGGAAGGTTGAGGAGCTTCTGTTGAGAATGGTGAGATTACATAAAAATGATAGAGAATGGAATAGTGTTAGATTCTTTGAAAAATATTTGTTGTGATTGATTAAAAAACATGTGTAGAACATTTGGTGATTTTCTGTTATCAGCTCACATGGGAAGGGGTATAGGAGAAATTATGTTTAAAAGTTTATACTCAAGGGTCAAACAAAATAAAAAAAAAAAAATACTGTAAGACTTTTGCATTCCACAGCTCTAATTTATTTGTTTTTATTAATACATTGTATTTTCTGTTAAAAGCTATTTAGAACACCCTATTCTGATATATTTACCCATTTTAAACCTCAAAGGGCCACCTCTATTGTCTGTGAAAAAGCCATCATTCTACAGGTAGTGATATTAGAGAAGGTTCTTGATTATAAGCACTTGGAATAATAAATCAGGATTTGTTAGTATTCATCACTGTTCATCACTTGTCTTTTTCTTCTTACTAGGGCCACCCTATTGGCACTTTATGATGAACTTCATGTAAAATATAAATATTTCAAGTCTCAAGTTTCCTCCAAATATATACAGAGAAAAGTGGTGTTTTAGACAAATGGGAAAAGTATAGCCGAGAGCACACTGTTCTGCAGATTCATATGTTAATTTTAAATATTGCCATATTAGCAGAGATATTTTAACTTTGTCTCTTTTTGAAAAGTACAAAATGATTTTAAACTCCTTATATAGGGAGCAAAACAAGTGTATTTTCTTTCAGAACCACATGCTGTTAGATCAAATCTTGTTTGCAATTTGCCCTTCAGAGGCAGGCAGCATTCTTAGACAAACAATGAATAAGCTTTGATTAAATGGATTAGTGTAGCATAAAAGAATGGAACTCGCTAGTAATGCCACTTCTTAATGGTGTACATTCTGTTTCATAGAAAAGGGATTTAGAATGATATTGCAAATTAATGTGTTCCTTCGTAGTAAACTTTTATTTTTTTGAGAGTTTTATCAGTTTTGAAATATAGGTGCTGATATTCTTATTTAATTTCAATCTTTCATTTTCCAACAGTGATTAGATAATTTTATCTTCTACTAATTACCTAAACAAATAGACTTACAATATCTCAGTGGGACTAAGATGTTAATTAAATGTTTAAAAATGGACTTACATGTGCACAAAAAAGCACAAGAATATCAAAGGATGTAGATGATTTTAAAGTAGCATGCTGCTATAACATAACATATTCCTTATTCCAAGTCAATAATTCACATAAAGTTTCATATTCAGAAACAAACTCAGTAGCTGGGACTATATGTTGTTTTCTTTTATTAACCTAAACTATTTAGTGATATTTTTAGAAATTCTGCATTCGGCTTTGATCAGTTTCTATCTTAAGAAGCCTTCAACAGTATAGCTGTTTCATGTTGAGGTTATAAATTTTGGCTTTTATAGAAGAGAGATTCTATATTGTCTACACTGGGCACTCAATATAGAATTGTTGATGGAATTCTTTAGCCAAATGCCTAAAATTAGGTCATCAAAATATTTTCATCTACATGTTTCTTATGCTACGAGTCTGGAGGTATAATAAGTCAATCTGGGTTTCACCCACATGTTACAAGGCATTTTTCTCACTAGAATTTTGCTGAAGAAGAAAAGGTTACAGCTTTCTCATTGAGAAAGACTAGAACAAGTGCCAAATTGCATGTTACCTGGCAGAAAGATAGCAGGATGCCCTGCATAGAGGGCTTTAATATTCAGAAACATTTTTATACAAATTTCATCTTCAACTACTTTCTAACATTGTAATTTCAAGTAAATTACCTTTTCTATCTCTCTGTTAACCATCTGTAAAAATAAATTAAAAATATTTTTATAAGGATTATATTAGTGTAATGTACATGAAAGTCCTAGCATAGATCTGGCAATTAAGAAAAAATATATATATACATTATTTTATGTCATCAAATACTATTGCTTCACAAGCTAGCAGTCATCTCTTCATTTACGCCCATCGGCCACTGTTGCAAACCATGCTGGCCCCTGGGAGGTCTCACAACAGAAGGAACTGCTCCACATTCCAAGCTCCTTCTTCCGCTTCCCGTCATGAATTAAAGTAAGCATACATGAATGGCATGACAGGGTCATTTGAAAAAATGAGGATTCCCTGCTTATTCCAACAGGGTGTCTCTTTATTTTTGATGTGACCATGTCTTGTTTTCCATGAGTTGTCACCCCAGGCATCAAAAGTCCCTAGTGTACCTTTTCCCCCCCACCCCCCAAGGAAAGCTGGATCTATTGCCATTGTTTATGTTAAGATTGACAACTTTCTATACCCTACCTATGAGCCCTAGACATATTAAGTGACTGTTATCTCTTTATCTAGCTACCCATATTTTATTTTGCTTAACAGTTAAACTGATCACATAAAATCTTCTGAGTGTCATCTACATAATATGCACTGAACTGAGTCTTGTAAGACAAGAAGGAGTATATAACTTTATATGTCTCCAACTTTATTGCTATATGGCATAATTTCCTTAGAGTTTAATAATTAAGAGAATATACAAAAATTGTTAGAAAAAGTCAATATAAAAAAAATTGATTTGCAATGGTCTTTGAAATATAATAATCGTGATCTACCTATACTCATTAGAAATAAAAGGACATAAGATTTAGCAGTAGAAGAAAAGGTTGTGTTCTGATTTTACAATCAAAATTACTTGAAATAATAAGCTATTAGTATAATTGAAATTTCCATCTCATAAACTTCAAAATCAGAATAGCTTATCACTAAGTAAAGTAAGATGGATGGATAGATGATTTCAAACATTTTCTTCTAAAAGAACATTTCTGGTTCCAGGTTTGAGATACATAGGTCCTAAAAAGGAGGTTCGCCTGCTTTTTTAATGGTCTTATTGATAGAAAATACTCGATAATTAGAAATACAAATAATTGTCCCTCTAATTCTGATTTGTGATTTTGAACTAAACTCTAAAACACTGTATAATTCTTATAAAAGCAAATTCAGTAGCCAAACTTATGCAAGTTAAAATGATACATTCATGCATTGAAAACAAATTTTGATAAAACTAATATAAAATATTGATTAATAGCATTTTACTTATTATAATATAAATTTAAGTTAAAATTTACATTGGAATAAAAGATTATATTTATTTTAAGCTTAATAAAGAAATAATATTACAAGAATTATAACATCGTCTGAAAGTGAGACATTAATTTATGTGTTGGAACATATAAGAAGGTTTTGTGAGTTACTGAGAAAAATATTTAGGATGGGATTTGAAAACATAAATCTTTTCAGATTTTGGCAAAAATATTAAAATGTCATTGAATTACAAATTATATTTTAGCTAACTACTAACAATTTTCAATTTGTTCTCAGTTTGGAAGTAGGTTTTGAGCTCTAATATTTTCCTTAAGAATTCTAACCTTAGTGGACTTTTTTTTTTCTTCAAATTAGCTACCACCAAGGAAATACATATATAAAATTATTCAACTTTAAATATTTCAAACTGATTTGGGAACTGTAAAGAGCAAAGGGTGAGTGAGGAATAGGTTCTAGTCAAGATGGCGGAGTGCTTGCCTGCTTCCACGACCACATTAAAATTGCAACTAAACTATGCAACGGTCAACCTGGAGAATCATCTGAAGATTAGCTGAACAGAGTCTTATAATTAAAGATATATAAAGAGGACACACTGAGGCTGGTAGGAGAACCAGAGATATAAAATGGGCCAATTTCATAGCCACTTGTGGCAGTTGAGTGTCAGGAGGGATATTTTGGCTGAGGAGATTTCTCTGGAGGAGCAAGGGGCTCCAGCCTCAAACCAGGGCTCGCTGGCCCAGAATTCCAGTGGTGGGAAGAGGAGTCCCCATAAAATCTGACAAAATCAGTAGAGATTCCAGCCACCCAGGTGAAATGGAAGGCAGCTGGAAATGCAAAAGTCCCCTTAAAGGGCCTGCACACAAACTCACTTGCTCTCAGGCACTTAACTTGGGCCCTGGCAGAGGGACAGCAGCTTGGAGGTGCCAGAGACATACAGGAAAAGACTGAGCTGTGTGGCTTCAGGACAAGGGCTGGAGAGACAGCCATCATCTTCCCTGCGTTGAGTCATGTGTCCCCCCACATAGCCAAATATGTTTTCACATTGGCCCGGTGAAAAACCC